ATTAACTACAAAATTGTACCATGAAATGAGTATAAGTAACTCATTTTACTAACTGATGTGTCTGAGGTATTATTTCAGTTTTTTTTTTTTTTTTACATTTGTTTCAGTGATTGTGATCATTAAGGAAATAATGTAAAAGCCCCTCTTTTCTTGGGAACAGATTTTTGGTATGGGTGCATACACTGACTGGAAATACACAGAGAGACAAAGAGAGAAATCACCCACCAGGGGAATGGCCACGACTATCCCTTCTCTGTCCTACTCTTTTCAGGATTTTGACACTCAAGCACAAACACCAGCTTTGAGTTTCAAGCCACAGAATCTGGGACTTAAATTACTGTTTGGCCATGGAAGTCCAGGACCTTAACCACTATGCAACCTACTGGACACAACCAACTTTCCATCTTTTTTTTTGGGAGAGGTTTTTGCTATAGGGCACATGTGCTCACCAGAAAGACAGAGAGAGACAGAGAGAAAGAAAGAGAAATCAGCCCCTGGTGGGGATGGCCATGCTGCAATCCCTTCTCCTCCTGGGCTCCTCTCAGGATCTTGGGCATGCATGCACATGCACCCTGTGTGAATTTAAGCCACTGGATCCGGGATTCAAACCATGGTCGACTATATGGGAGTCCAGCTACATAGCCATTATGTCAACTGCTGGTCCCCCAACTCTCCTTTTCAACGATAGGACAGGAGTGAAATCAACTCACCCCAGTGGAAAAATAAACATTGACTTTGTCACACCCTGTATGTAATTGATAAGTTTGTGTCATAAGTTGAGTGTAGTTCTCATTAGTAGAAATAAGTGATCATTAGTAGAAATAAGTGAAAGAAGTGTCATATGAAAATACCAAATCAGTGACAAAAAGTGTACAGAGCACCAATGTAAGGGAAGCATGCTGTACCAAACAGAAACAGATTTAACATAAATAAAATGGGGACCAGCAGATGGCCTAGCACTTACGTTGCTGGACTCCCCACAGCTAACAGTGGTTCATGTCACAGACATGGTGGCTTGAAACACATGCCATACACTCATGTGCTAGCATGTCCAAAATCCTGAGAAGAGAACAGGATATATGGAATTGTGGTGTGACCATCTCCCATGGGGGTGATTTCCCTTTTTCCCTTTCACTGTGTCTGTCATTCTCTCTATCCAGTGAGTACACTAGCACATACACCCTAAGGAAAAACCTGTCGAAAAATAGACAGATAAATAAAATGAATGCAGTTAGAAACACCTGTCAAATAGTCATAGAACCGCAAATAGCAAGGAACAAATATAATTACATAAATAAATAGATTATACACCTGCCAATCTTATCTAAATATATATCTGCAAGTGATTGAAATAGGACGAATATTTGGGTCTGTAAATGGAATAGTGGTTACATCTCTAGACTCCCACATGTCCAACTACAGTAAGAGTCTCAAATCTGGTAACTGGAAAATCCTGTCAGGCACATGTGCGTGCATGCCAATGGTCTCAGGAAGAGAATGAAAGACAATGGACTGCAGCTTGGCCATCTTGGCTTAGGGATGATTTTTCACTTTCCCTCTCAGTATGCCTGTCTGTCTGTCTCTCTCTAGCAAATGTACACACACTAAAGCAAAGAAAAACAAAAAAAATCTAAAAAATTGAAATAGGATAAGTATGTTAAAAGACATTTTTTGTTTGTTTTTCTGTACAGGCACTTTCACTTAATTACTGAGTTCCATTCCTATAACTAGGTCATTAAATAAAGTTGTCAATAAGTAAGTAGATAAAAGACACCATAGTCTATGTATTTTTGTCTCTGTCTCTCTCTCTGTCTTTCTGGTGAGCTCACGTGCCCGATAGCAAAAACCTCTCCAAAATTAAATAAATAAATAAGTTATTCTACCCATATAAAAAGCATACATTAGATAAGCGCCAATAAGTTCCAAGAAACCACAGAATAATACAAATCCACTGTAGTAATTTTCATTTATTCTGAATACGATAAGATTTGTAAATGAAATAATTAGTTGTGTGTGATTGTGAATGCTTCATAGTGAGTTCTGAGTGGGACAAGACAAAGAAGTCTGAGTGTCAAATAGGTAAGCTATTTTGTTTATTAATTTGTTTATTTAATTTTCCAGAGATTTTTGCTATAGGGCATGTGTGCTTGCCAGAGAGACAGAAAGCAAGAAATCAACCCCCAGGGGGAATGGCCACACTGCAATCATTTCTCAATTCTCCTCTAGGGACTTTAGCAGACAAACATGCCTGATGTGAGTTTTAAACCACCGTGTCCAGGACTTGAACCATGATTGACTATGTGGGAGTGTAGCTATGGTAACCATTATGCCATCTGCATTTCCCAAACAGATAGGTTATTAAGAGTGGGGCAGCTAGATTAAAAATGTTGTTTAGAATGCTTATTTATGAGGTGGCTTGTGTTTCATTTTCAGTAAGCTAGATATTTTTCCTGACGCATGATTAGGCACCATAATATGAAGAAAAACTCTAGATGTTTGTCAGCAGAGGTGACATATCTTAATTTTCATAAAAGTTAATCTAGAAAGAGAATATTCTCCTTCTGAATAAGGATCTCACTACCAAGTATGCAGAAAAGAGCCAGCATAGCACATTTGTCACATGACACCTTTTCTTAAGGTTTGGATTTTCTGGGTCTGGTTGAACTATGGGAATAAAATAAAAATGACAAATCTGTATCAATTCTCAAGGACCCACAATTGATTGCCAGAAAATCTTTAGCTCTTTCTGTAAGTAAATCTACATAATCAAATGTTTTTTGTTTTGTTTTTGTTTTTCTTTTTGTTGTTTTGGAACTGACAAAGGACTCCCCACAGTGGGAGGAACTACAGAGGCCAATGAGTCTATCCAAACAAAAGCTTTGAGATTGACTGGAATAACAGTCCAGGAGAAGCAGTCTTAGAGAAATTTAATTGATACATGCGACAAGATCTACCGCCTGGCGAGTGTATCTATTCCTATGCTTAGACGAATTGGTATTTAAAAGAAGCAAAAAGTATTGCAGAATTAGTGACTTTCTGAGAAAAAGAAGTGATCAAAAAGTTTATAGTGTGAAAATCACTTGTTCTGTTATAGACAACTCATGAAAATCTATAAAGGTAAGTTACCATGTATTTTAGACTATGTGGAAGATATTTCTAAATCTGAGAATCAAGATTCAAATAAGAACATGAAATTCTGAAAAGATTATCTGAAAATTAGTTAATTGTATAAATCATTCACCTCTTAATTTTATATAAAGCCACATAAAATTAATCTCTGTCAAATAATAATGAGATCAATAATAAATATCATTCAAGTATTTGATAACTACTAATGGACATGTGTACATATTAGAGAATATTTGAACATTTTTGTCAATGCAATAATTCGAAAGCATCAACTGATAGGGCTAGAAGGTATATAGGTATATGTGAAGAGATAGGGAAACACTGGGTGGTCAAGGAAGGCATGATGCAGTTTAGCATAGAAAAACAGAAAAATACATCGTGCCTTTTCCAACAACCCTATACGTAAATATTTGTCTTGAAAACTTGGGAAATAAATACTGAGAAGGTGTTAAACAAACTGTCAAGCAACGCTGTCTTGCTGACCTCATACCAGATGATGTTAATATGAAGTGTAGCAAGACAAGGTTGTTAATTTCTTTTGCTTTGTTTGGATTTTTAGTTCCATTCGTATGCTCTGGGCACTTATATAGCCAGAGTATAAAATAGTTAGGTTTAATCCAAGTTATACTACTATAAGGCAATATTAAGGAGCGAAAATAAAGAAAGGGAATTGCATTTGATTGTAAGGGGATTATCTGATAATAAAGAATCTCACTTGGATACGGAGAGCTGCATAACCAGTATGAAAATGTATAGGCAATATTTTGATTAAGTTAAAAGCTAATTAATATTTGTCATAGACCATAGAGGGAATGTTGATAGGTAAAGTCAATGAACACTATGCTGAGTTTAATATTTTCATATTTAATATAAGTAATAGGAGACATACATTTATTAGAACAAGAATAATGCATATAATTATTTCCTCACTTTAAGAAAAGTGATTTGCATTTGAGTGTAAAAGATGACTTAATAATCATTTTGAATAAAAATTAAATAAAACTTCAATGGAAAGGTTTTCTTTAAAAGGATATAAAATATGACTATCATTACAAAGAAAATAAATCCAGACAAATCAATAAAATAAACTGTATCATAATTCCACTCATAATGATGAAAAAATGAGTTATTATTTCTCCATGACATTCTCTAAATAGTGGATACTTCCCAATGTCTCTGGTATCATTACACTCAAATAAAATACATTAGAATTATAATTCTTGATAAAACTATAAAATATCTTCAACAAAGAATACCACATTTCTTTGTCCCATTAATGATTTGCCTCCCTATTTTTCTTCTAAATGTCCTTCCTCAGACCCCATTCTTTCACACACACTATATCTGGTATTTACATTCACTTACTGTGTTTCTATATCCTTTAGTCAATTAGTTTCAGTTATAGAGAGTGGACACTCTGTATATATTAAGTGGAGACATACAGTGTCTCGCCTTCATAGCCTGGCTTGCTACACTCAGCTGTAAATCTTCCATATTCTTCTACTTTTTCTCAAAAGCCAGGGTTTTGTGTTTTTTTTTTGTTTTTTTTTGTTTTTTTTTTTGATGAATAGTATTCCATAGAGTATATATGCCACTGGACTAGGGAGAAATGTTCACATGTTGAAATATTCACTTTGTAAGCTAAATAATGCGATTGAATGTATAAAAGAAAATCTAAAAATGTAAATAAAAAATGATACTTCTTGAATGATTCTATCTCCAATACAAATTCCTTTCTGAACTTTCTAATTTAATTCCCTAGTAATGGTAGATATAATTTGAGAAAATATGTATGCATTTCATGCATCTCTTCCAGTAGATATGAAGAGAAAGGGTGATTCAATATGTGATGGAATTAATCATTTAAATTTACTTTATCTGCAGATGAAGAGCAAATTCAAGCAGAAAACTCAAATATCACAATGATGGAATTTCTTCTTTTGGGGTTTTCTGATACTCCCAGTCTCCAATGGACTCTTTTTGGTATATTTTTGCTCATATATTTAACTATCTTGATATGCAATAGCATCATAATAATAATAACAAAAATTGACCCTGATCTCCACACTCCCATGTATTTTTTCCTGGGCAACTTTTCCTTTTTGGAAATCTGCTATGTAACAGTAACTATCCCAAGAATGTTAATGGACCTATGGACTCAGAAAGGCCATATTTCTTTCCTTGCCTGTGCTATACAGATGTTTTTTTTCTTTATGCTCGGAGGCACAGAGTGTCTCCTCCTGACAGTGATGGCCTATGACCGCTATGTGGCCATTTGTAACCCTCTCCATTATGCTCTAGTGATGAACCACAAGGTCTGCATCCAACTGGTGGCTGCCTCCTGGATCACTGCAGTTCCAGCTGTCATCGGGCAAACCTGGAAGGTTTTCTCTTTGCCTTTTTGTGCATCTCACGTCATCAATCACTTCTTATGTGACATCCCACCAATACTCCAGCTTGCTTGTGGGGATACATTCGTGAATGAGACAGCAGTCTTGGTAGCTATAGATACAGTGGTATTTATCATGGTCCCTTTTCTGTTGATTGTTGTCTCCTACGGCAAAATTATCTCCAACATTCTAAAGTTATCATCAGCCAGAGGGAGATCTAAAGCCTTCTCCACCTGCTCTTCTCACCTGACAGTTGTGGTGTTATTCTATGGGACAGCTACTATCTCTTATTTACAACCCAAGTCAAATCAGTCTGAGGAAAGAGGAAAATTAATATCTCTATTCTACACAATTTTGATCCCAACTTTGAATCCCATCATATATACTTTGAGGAACAAAGATATCATGAAGGCACTGAGAAAACTGCTGATTAAGTTATTACCATGAGGTAAAGCCTTAATTTATATAAATAGCCTTTTTACAGATTTGTCATGTTGCTAGACTAGAAACGGACTGTTAGGTTTGTTTCCATGTTCCTAAATAATGATAAGGAAATTATAATGATGATCCACACATTGTGTAAAGAGAGCTTTCTTTCATAGAGCTTTTTTAAGAGCCACTATGGAACCAGGGGACAGATAAGTTTCAGGGCAAGGATCTTATTTTGAAGGTCAGTCTTTCCTTCATGGTTAACTATTGGGTTGAGACTGAGCAATAGAACACAAGGTATCTATGTTTGTTGGAGATGCAGGAATTAGGGTCGTGCTCTGTGATGATTTTTAATTAATTAATTAATTAATTTTTGGAGAGGTTTATTGCTATAGTGTGCATGCACTCGCTAGAAATATATAGAGAGACAGAGAGATGGAAAGCGAGAAATCAACCCCCAGGGGAGATGGCTACGCAGCAATCCCTTCTCCTCCATTCTCCTCTCGGAATCTTGGGCACACATGCACATGTGCCTGGCATGAGTTTAAGCCACCGGGTCCGCGACTCGAACCGTGGCCAACTACATGGGAGTCCAGCAACATAGCCATTATGCTAACTGCTTGTCCTGATTATTATTTTTTTTTTAGCCCTCCATTCCTTCAGATGCATTTTCTGCCATTCTCTGACCCTATGGTTGGATTTAACCACTGAGATTCTCTGCAAACTGCGAAGATGATTGGAACAGGGGATAAGAGTTTCTTTACTTCTTCCCACCCTGCATCTATCTCTTGTTTCTGTCCATGTCATTAAGAGACTACAATCCTTAGGGATTACCGTCCTCTATATAAAATTCTAATTGTCTCTATCTTGGTAATATTGATTTAGTTCCTGAAGTGTCTAAAATTCTCACCATCAGTGATTCATTCTAATGTACAATGGGTTGAATCTTGGCTCTTAAAAATATACTTCTATCTGACATCTTCATATGCATCATTCTTTGGACAAAAAGGATTTTTGCAGATGTAATTAATATAAGGATTTTGAATTGTGATCACTGTGATTTAGGGCAGCACTAAGTGCAGTGTTAAGTGTCTTTATAAGAGACTGAGAGTTGAAGAAATTTAGAAAATAAACCCTGAGAAACAGAAAAGAACATCATCGGAAGGTGAAGAAAGGGATTGCAGTGATTTCTGCCACATACCAAGGAAGGCTAAGAGCCATCAAAACCTGGAAGAGGCAAGGAGTGATTTTTTTCCTTACAGACTTCTGATGGAGTGAGGCACTGGCAACACTATGACAGTGGACACTGATCATGAGAACTGTGAGATGCTAATTTTCTGTTGTTTTAAGCCGTCCAATTTGTGGTAATTTAAGGTATATCTCTGAAAACAGAACAGCACATAAATATTCCTTAGATTTTTTTTCTTATGTCATCTTTTCATGAGTTCTGTGCTCTACCAGATGCCAACTGTTAAACCATGTCTCCTCCCCTTCAATTTTTGTGTCTATTTTGGATCATAATTTGGCACTATTTTCTTTTGAAAGAAAAATAAAATCCTTAGCCTTTTCTTTACAAACTGAATCAATGAAATCGCATATTGAAATCATATTTGCACGGTACTATAGATATGTGTTTTTTTAAGTTATAATATGGTATAGCATGTTTGGTTTCCTTTTGTATTGCTTTAGCAATGCAAAACAAAGTTACAAGCAAAGAGAAGGCACTCTGACTAACTGGCACTCTTATGAAGATGCTGGAGAGGTCCACACCACATATCTCACAGCCACTTAAAACAATGTTTAGAAGTAGCTCTGTTGAAGCAATTTCTACTTTCTTAACATGTAAGAAAGAGTATAAGTGTATTCATAAAACATAACACTGTGTTCATGAAACCATGAGTGATAGCACTCTATAACCTTCTATACCATTTTAAATGGGT